TTTATCCTCGTTGGAACGTGCAAAGCCACCACGCTGAGCTCAGATTCATCACTTCGCCTTGAAGGCAGCAGCTTCCTAACGAGGCAGCAGAGGGAGATTTCCTCCTTTTTATTTCATCTTGTCAGCCACACTTCCACCCGAGTCCAGGCCCCCGCCGAGCTGCTAAAAACCCTCCGCCGCTCTCAGGAGGAAATGGCTGTGCCAGTTCTTATTATGTGTTTCCTGCCTCTGGCCATCAGCTGGGATTACCTGTCCTCCAGCCTGCCTGCTCTTCCTCCAAACGCTCTTTGTCTGAAGGCCGTGTGGAAAGTTTTGCACGACCTGTTACCTAACCATGCCAGCGTGACTCTGACATTTCAGAATCGGTCCCCACCCGTTCAGATCCCACGAGGTTGCTCTTTATCCCCTTCCCCCACGCTTGTTAATTCAGTACGGCTTATATTTACCGTTAGATCGGTGGTAGGACTCGTCCTTCACAGTCTAGCTCAGTGATGTGATGGCGCTGGTAGTGATGCACAATGTATGGAAATGTGTATGTTGTATTCTGCCTAAATGGGCTGCTGACAGAACAAAACCTTGTATCTTCAAAATGGTAACTTTACCGGAGAAGGAAAAAACATACTTTACTTTTAATGTAAGTCAATGGAACCAGAGTTTTTTCCTAGTCCTTTTGGGACGTTTCTGTTGGTCCATTCGTCATGAAATTTATGCACAGTGCAAAGGCCAACAGCATTATGTCAAAAACTGAAAAACAACAAAAACGGAGATATGAGGTTTTGTTCCAACAGCAGCGATGAATGAATAGGGATGCATCGATACAGATACTAATATCGGTTATTGGCCTGAAGTCGCTCTGATTTACTCATACTCGAGCTTATAAAAATGCACCGATATTAATATCCGATACCACTTAATACTGTGTGAGGTAAGCATTGTGTTGCTAATAAATGAACAGTTCAAGCTGGCAGTAAACAAGTGTTTGGATTGGCCAGACACAAAGTTGTTGGTCACTTTAAACATCCTGCCCTGCTGTGCGATTTTAGCCCATTTTTAAACACACACAAACACAATCACAACCACTTCCCCAATACAGGTGGAGACACATAGGCTAACAAAAAAAAGGCGAAAGAGTCACCATTTGCTACCAATGTCTATATATGCGACTTGACTAAGGTGTTTGACTAAGATTTTATATATATAATTTTTATAACTATATATACATTTTGTGAAAGTGCAGGTTTGTAACAGTAGATTGAAAAATCCAAACCCATTACTGCTTCATACATTTTACCATACAGTCTACGCACTTTACACACAACACTGAGAGTGAATAGTCGTTGTGCTGGTAGTGGAGCTGTGCACGAGTGTGTTTTCTTCAATCGCTACATTCCCGCCAGTCTAATTATGTGACTCTGGCGCTGCACCTGTGAGGTAATTTGATCTGCAGCCCTTAACTATGTTTTCAGATATGAAAGGAAACTCATTTAACATAAATAATAAAAGTTTGATTTATCATGCAGCCCTAATTAAGACTGAGTTTCGGCTGTTTTTTTGAGTGACGGGGGCAGAAATAAGATCATATCAGAATTTTTATTCCCTTTAACCCCTTAATATTCCAGGCTTATCACATACTAAGGCTTATTATTCAGTAACCTCAGGGACTTCAATGCAAACTAATGGAGCTTAGGTTATGGAAGTGTGTGATAAAATGGGTTTGGCTTGGTAAGGGGTTAACCCGATTTTCATATCAGTTGGGTGGTAATCATGACAGGTGCAGGAAGTGACCTCTTTGGTAGTGGTCATGGTGATATTGAGGTTTACTGTAAAGGTGGGCAAACTGGGTCTGTTATTGAACTCAATGTGGGGTGGAGACAGTCAGTCTTTGCATTATTATGCTGCCAGTAGTACCTGTGTATTCAACTAGTATGAAATATTTGTTGAGCAAACAATACTGGAAGTGATTATATTTACTGTGAGCATATCTGGTTGCTGGTTGTAGACCAGTGAGCAAGGCGTGGACCCAGCAGGCACTTTGAGACAGGGTAAACAGTCTTAACTGATCTGCCCAGCATGTGTGGTAACTTAAGATAGGTCAACAAGATGTAAACAGAGTCATTCAGAGTGGTTTGGTGTGAAACGCTCTGTTCTAGAGAAACTTACAGAGTCAGAATTGTTCACAGTGGTGGTGATAGGAACCAGACGTCCACCTCTAAAAGCTCCCTCACAGAAAGTTACTACATGAAATGGTTATTAATACACTGCCTGCTATCAGAGACACTGTTTTACGTTAGGTTTGAGAAGATTTTGGCCCGTTTTTTTTTAAATCCGTTCATGGTGGAACGGTACATGTAGGAAAAAAGTTCCTAACGTTGTTTTCAGAGCTACCACAACTTTACCATCATCAGTTTTCCATATAAAAACTTACAAGACACATGTATCACATATCTTCAAATCACACATTTTCACTGGTGGTTTTGGATTGTAGATAAAATAGCTATATTTGCTCTATTTGCTTTTTACAGGACTACATCACCAGTGTGACTTATGCTGCTCCAAGGCCGGTTTAGATGGCAATTATAGATCGTAAATACCTATTAGACCAGTGGTCACCAACCCTCCTCCTCGAGATCTACTTCCCTGAAGAGTTATATTCCAACCTGCTACCTGCGTCTACAGGCTCCCGCCCCTTTACCTATTACTGATGCGTCTGTTCCAGCAAGTCAAGGAACATCTGAAGAAGTTTATTGGCTTAAGCAAGGTGGTTGGAACTGCACTCTGCAGGGAGGTAGATCTCCAGGACCAGGGTTGGTCATCAGGTACCAGGAATATAATGCAAGTGCTACTCCAGTAAACACAGTGGCTGCGGTGACCACTTTACTTTCTATTAGGGCTGGGCGATAACACGATAACGATAATTATCACGATATAGCTTTCCTTGATAGAAATATAAGAAATGTTCGATATAATAGAGCATTCTCACACCTCCACGTTCCAGCGACACTACTCTGCTGTCGGCACAAGAGGGCGCACTTCTGAGTTTTTCGACATGATTGGGGGGTCAAGGAGTGAAATGAGTTGCTACATATACTTTAGCAACGTCTGAAACGTGGAGTGGTCAGCGATCTGTTCTCCTGTGACCAAGTGTGAGTGACGAGATCAGTGGCGTAACTACAACGAACCTACAGCGAACTCACTTCTATTCTAAAGTCCTAACCATAGATATACGTCTGCTCCACACAACTACAGTCATATTTTAGTATCAGTGCATTCCCAAGCAACAAAAGTGAAAGAGCGCTGCACTGATTTAAACGAAAAAAACTGAGGATGCTGTATGTGAGGCATTGGAGAGCGGGAGAACACTATCTTGCCAGGCTAGCTGTTTTTAGCCGCTGGCTAACTTGAAGCAGCGCTCTGTCCCTCGCACAGCACGGCGAATTGATGATACTGTAGATCAAACAAGACAAAAAAGCAGCAATTTCAGTTTAAACGTGCCTAAAAGGAGGACTCTGTTTGTCTGGAGTTAGAGATTTACACTGCACGCAATCAAGAAGCAAGCAAAGTTTATTTATATAGCGCTTTTTACAACAGGTGTTGTCACAAAGCAGCTTTACAGAAAAATCCGGCTCTGAGCCCCCATGAGCGTCGCCAGTGGCGACAGCGGCAAGGAAAAACTCCCTAAGAGCAAGAGGAAGAAACCTTGAGAGGAACCAAGACTCAGAAGGGGAGTATAAAGTATTACCGTACAAAACGGGGAAAACAGGTGGAGCAGTGGTTCATTTGATTAGTTTTAGTTTATGCAGCAGCATCATCGGGAGGGTCAGTTCATGAGGGTGAGGCTTGCACAGTGTTGTACAGCATGAAGTTCAGTGGTGTTCAAGCTGGTTCAGAAGGCTGGAGAGCAGTGGGCACCCGATCAAGGCAGAAGAAGCAACAGCATCAGACGCACAGGATGGGCAGCTGTTCAACTCGGCGTGTCAACTCGACACTGCAGTTAATGCTTTTACACAGCGAGCATCTTATTGCGGTTCTCCCCTCAAACTACTGTGATAGAATAGAGGAATCCAGTCGTCTGCTGGCTGTCTGAAAACTGTGATATGCTCTGACATGGATGTGGTAGGAGTGATGGCAGTAAGGCGCTGTGATCCATTGCTGACCTACTGAGCCAGCTAATGTTTGCTGTTTGTATTAAGCTGACATTGAGAAACTAAACAGCTTGGCACTTGTAACCGGATAGCCGAGCGCTCGTCACCAGACAGCTAAAAATAATCTGTTTTTCATTTCTTCAATTACGAATTTTACAAAAATTGCAGCCGTGCTTTTCCAGCTGGTAAAAACAGCCAACCGGAAACTTTCTCCCACTGTCCCCTGACAGATTTGTGAAGTGTTCCTCTGTTTGATGAGTTTGTCATGTTCTGACCATAACAGCGATTAACCACTCGGGAGCAAAAACCAGCCTTCAAACATGAAAGAAATAATAATTTGACGTTTATCGCGATATGTATCGATATCGACTGATATGAATTTTTTTATCGTGATAACATTTTTGGCCATATCGTCCAGCTCTACCTTCTACAAGTTTATGTAGTACAATTTCTTTTTTCCTTCTCTGAAAATCAAGCTGCTTGACTCTTCCTCATGTTTCACACGACTGGCTGTCTGTCATAATCGTTCAATTTCATGTTCACAAGAATTAAACTTGGCTTTGTAAACCTGGGTTAATGGGAAAGTTTCCCTGGTGCACAACAGTTTTCCGTTTGTTAGGTTTTGTGAAGCTGAAGCTTAGTCATAAACCTGGTCTGATGAACCAGCTTTGTGAGACAGGCCTTAGCTGACCCCTGTATCTGTTTATTAGGTTTTGTAAGTGTACAGTCCAGTCTGTTAAACGAGCATTCAGATTTGATTGGCTTATGCCTGGAGGAGCAGTGCTGCTGCTGCGCGTTTGCCCGAGGGTGCTTTAACCTTGTGAGAACACTCCTAGCATTCATTCAGCTCCTTTCAGCCGGCTTGTAAAATGAAACAGCTCGCCGAGCTGAGTCACAGGTGGCCTTGCACCTTCCAGTTGCAGGTTCCGGCGCAGTGTGCATGTCTCTGCATGGAGCTGAGGTGTACGTGTGTCAGCCCTCAGAGACCTCCGGTGTTTACTGTTTACCGTGTGCGGCTTTGTTTACCCAGCGCTGCTCGGTTCGGACTCCTCATCGCTGCAGTTGTGCAGGTCAAATCCGTTTAGCTCGGCCTCCCTGTGGACCACAGCAGGCAAGTTTTATCAAGTAACGATTTTAACTGTGTTGCTCAGGTGTGAGAACAGATTTCTGTAATTTGGAGTCCAGTATTGAGCACAGGGTGAGCTTATATGGCAAAAATATAGTTTTTGGACATTTTTGGATGCATATAGTATTTTGTTATTCTGAGGGTTGATAAGTTGGAAGACACAGTGGACCAGTAGTGCCACATTTTTTAAAAATGCTGCCAGGAGCAGTTCTAATTAGGGCTGATTTAGTGAATTGTGATTTTTCTGACCATTATGGTTCCTGCAATTTAAATGACTGTGTTATTCTCTGTAAATTAAAGTTCAGGCCTGTTATTTTGGAAGAAGAGCAGAATATCCAGTTGGTTGGCTCGAGCACTAAATTTAGAGTTCCAGACTGCCAGTAGGTTAGCAGGTTAAACTTTCCTACTTGAAATTTAAGACAGCATTGTTGATACTATAGGCTGTGCTTAAAATTGCATCTCTTGCAGTTTGGACATTGCACTATTTCAGATTGCAATTCCAATATAAATGCAGTCAATCTCTCAGCTCTAAAACCCACCAATCTGGAAATATGGAATGTGGGAGATCTGATGTTTTCATAAATAGTAGTCATAATAAATACATCATCCAGTAACACTCATCTGATGCTGTTGTTTTTCTAAGCCTCATGTGTCAAACACAAGGCCCGCGGGCCAGATCAGGCCCGCCACACAATCCTATCCGGCCCGCAAAAATATTTTTATTTTCTATTAATATTAGCCTGTTTCACAACGCGCTGCACTACAGTCCCCAGCATGCACTGCAACGTAATGTGCTCTGACTCTCCCACCCCAGCAATAGTCTATGGGACAGTGGTTACACCTCAGTTCTACACAATTCTACACAATTCCACACCAGTAATATCACCAAAATGCATTTCAGCTGCAGTTGAACAAATAAACACTTAACGTCAGTTCAGCAGCTCAGAAACTGAGCCCAAGTCTTAACGAGCTTGCAGCAAAGAAAGGAGGCCGACATTTAAATTACGAATATTTCAAGGTCTACTAAAAGTGCCTGTATTTTACTGTTGAAGTTTTTGCATATTTTGAATAAACAGTGGCCAGTTCGGGTTACAGCACAACATTAATTAAAAATGAAATATAAACGTTTTTTTCTCTGGCCGACAGATTTGATGAGAATTTTTTAATAAGGCCCTTTTACCGGTTGGGTTTGACACTCCTGTTCTAAACCGTTATCTGACGATTCTGATGTCATTGTGCATCTCTACTGTGTACAATTTTTTTTTTTTTTCCTGGACTCCAGACAAGCAGGACCAATTACACTCTCTTGGATTACCAGCATCCCTGTGATCCAAACTCTTCTGACAAAACCTTAACAAGCTACGCCACTTGGGAGCCTCTCCTAAACCCTTTTTCTGATAAAATAATGGTCTCTGTTCTTTAAATATCCCATATCTTACATTTTCCACTTAAAGTTTTTGTGAGTTTATGTACCAGTAATTCATTGTTACATGGCCTTTCTTTATCCCTACAATGAAACAGACTGTTTTTGTTACTGTGCCCTTAAATATAACGTATATAACGTAAATGAGCTCTGTCCTGATTGGCTGCGCTTTGGTCAAAAACACCCTTTATAACTTCAGTGTGAGTGGGTGGGGCTAAACCGCTGTAGGCCGAGTGTGCAGATATGTAAATGCATTGGGTTTTGTGACCTCACAAAGGGGGTGAATTCAAAACAGGATGTTTTTACACTTTCGTTTTCATATATGCAATATATTGACTATAACATACTTTGATTGGGCAGTCGTGGGCTGGAGGTTAGGGGACCAGCCTTGTGACCGGAAGGTCGCTGGTTTGATCCCCTGAGCCTGAAGTGCCCTTGAGCAAGGCACCTAACCCCCAACTGCTCCCAGGGCGCCGTGGATAGGGCTGCCCACCGCTCCGGGCAAGTGCGCTCACTGCCCCCTAGTGTGTGTGCATTCACTAGTGTGTATGTGGGGTCACTGCAGGGATGGGTCAAATGCAGAGGTGAAATTTTAATCTTTTAATCTTGATCTTAATGATGTGAACAGTATGTTCCGAATCTTTGTTTACTACAACAAACACATTTCAAAAAGTGAAGAACATGAGTTTTTCTATGACTTTGGCCCTTTAGGTACTAACAGTATATACTTAGAACAGTTTATCATGATATAATTGTCATAATAATGATGATATATTGTCATATCGTCCACCCCTGACAGAGGTTACCTGCGCTGGCCAGGGCAGACCTCATTATTTTGGTTTTCCCCCTTTGTATCCGCCATCTGTTCAGGTGTTTTCTGCTCTCCTAACATAAACAAAGGCAAATCAACAGCTGTCCATCGTCCAGCTCCAACCAGCAATCTCTGCAGCAGCTGAGGCTTTCGAACAGTGCTGCTGCACCCAAACTGCTGAAATGCACCGTAGGTGTATTAGTAATAGACGATTTGGGCGTATTTAGTGTCCGTGTTCTGTTTATCGCAGCACATCGTCCTCTCTGCTGTGTCCTGGTTGACAGCTGTGCTGTTGCCTGCCAGCTCACAGCTCATATACAGCTCCAATTCCGCTCCCTCGGCTTTCTATCCTCATTTTCTCCCTGCTTATTAACAACCGTATTGTTTCTGTCCCTGTTCCTGCTCTCCGGCATGGGCCCTCTGGGAAATCCCACGTCTTTCTCATAGGAAACCCCACCTTCCCCAAACAAACACACACATTTGTGTTTAAACATTGTATTAACACATTTTTCTTAAAGGTTTCTTTAGTAAGGAAAATGGTTCCTTTATAGAAGCATGAACGCGTCATGAAAGGGTTCTTCAGATTGATGGAGAATGTGCTGTAGATGGCTCTATATAGAACCTTTTCGAAAAGGGTTCTATGTAGCATCAAAAAGGGTTCTTCTATTGTAACAAGCATGACATTGTAACAGTAGATGAGCCCTTTTTGATGCTATATGGAACCATTTTCAAAAAGATTATATATAGAAACATATACAGCTCATTCTGCGTCAATCTGAAGAACCCTTTCATGATGCAAAGAACCTTTTAATTATGTAAAGGATTCTTTGAGTGTTCGTGGCTCTATATAGAACCATTTTCTTTATTAAAGAAACCTTGACGAACAGTCTTTTCTAAGCTTGTGTGAGATAATAATATGTCTAATAATATGTCCCAAAAGGATAATATATAAGTAAGTATTTTGAATACTGTGCAAAGTCAAAGAAAACCCAGCAGTGAATTAATTTCCAGTCAAAACAACTATTAAGTACAAGTAATTTTCCAGGAGATACTTATGAGGAGATTAGATACACAACAGTCCTCTTCCATCAGGAAGGAGGAAAGCTGTCAAAGGAAAACTGTGTTTACGAAACTGGAGTTAAAAAAATGACTGAAAGCTACAGAGAAAACGAGCCTCCTAACAACCACCTGGAAGACCTGGTAGACACCAAAACTGCCCCCATCAGATAAACAGCACTTAAAGCTTTCATCTCTGAGAGAGAGGAGAAAATCAAGCTGCTTCAGATCTGAAAACATCCACAGGTGTTTCTGTCCATCCTTCCACTGTGAGAAGACGACTCAGCGCTGTGGGTCTGAAAGGATGTGTAGCTGATCAAGAAGAACCTCACTGAGAAAAGGAGACGGACACATCAAACAAGCTGAACGATGGACTGACCACCCCAGAGTCCAGACCTCAACACCACTGAATGTGTTTGATTACTTCAGAAAATGATCAAGCAGCTTCTAAGACTGAACTTTGGAGGTGTGTCTGCAGATTCTTTGAGGAGCTGAAAGTGAGTCTCCTGAAAAGATTCAAGCTGTAATGAAGGTGAAGAGAGACTCACTAAACACTGAAAAATATGACATTATATTGAATTTTATGTTAAATGTGTTTTCTGCTTTTACTCTTTTAGTTTTTAAAATAAACCATTTAGTAAAGAGCATTTTACAAAGTCAGGACCACACTGTAGGTTAGCCTTGTTTTTATCACGTTTCCAGACAAATTCAAAGCGATATGATACTGAAAATATGTGAAAACAAACCACACCCACACATAAACATGCTGATAGACTCGGCACGCTGTGTAGAGCGGTAGTTTTGTAGTTACATGTCTGATTGTTATTTTAGCCACCAAACCAGGTTCAGATTAAATCTCCATATGCCTTCCACCCACACCTGCTTTCTGTTTCAGTGCCCCGTAACTCCTCCTGCACTCGCTCTACCCTCTTCAGGCCTGTCCCCTGAGGTGCTGTTGTTTCTAGTCTGATGAAACTCTTGTGCTTCTGGTTTACAAGCTTGACTCCTGATTTTGCAGATTGCAACAATCTGAGCGAATGCAAAGTGTTACGAACGTTCCTCCCCATCATCGTTTGCACCGATGATTATAACTGACCAGTGCTAAAGTAATAAGTGGCTTTCTTTTTAATTTGGCTCAGAAAAATAATACTTTTCTAGAGCTTATGTTTACATGTGCATCATTGTTTGTGTAGTCGGGCCGTCACATAGAATAGCAATTATATCAGTAACCTACTAGTTAATTTGACAATTAATTAACTAAGAAGATTTTTTTAAAAAGACCAAACAATTATAATGAACTTAACCGCTTATTCTCCAGGGTATATTTCGGTTTTTCCATCTGAAATTACATGCCCAAATCGTAAGGCAAATTATTCAGTAACTGCATGAAATAAATGTTTTTTTTTTTGTAAAAGCTCCCCTCAAATTAACAAAAAATGTGTTTTATGATCACACATATTGCTATATGCTTGCAATTTACTGCTGAAAGCCAAAAATCTTAGACGCTCTTGGTATTTTTTCATAAAAATAATTTTTACAGAGCAGATCACTGAAGAGACGCCATCTGTTTACAGTTTATAGCTCAGATTTGTGGAAAAATAGTTCGACTTTCAGTAGGAAAAAAATGTGAGTTCAGCTTCTTTTATTGTAAAGTTTTAAAACTACATTACGCATCTATTTGACTGGAAAGAAGAC